ACTTAAGCGAAGCTTCACTGAAAGAGTAGTTTATTTTCAATGTACACCCAATCTTCTGCCTACAGCAGGCTGCTGTTGAAGGGAGGGAAGAGCAGAATCCTCCCTCCAGCAGCTATGGGTCCCTGTTCCTTCCTTTTTTTATCAAGGAATAGATACAGGTAACCAAACCCCCTCCCCCCACCCCTGACTTCCCCAGGTATAGAAATAAAGTGGCAGTTGTGGCCAGAGATCAAAACTGCATATCATAGAGGGCGCAAATTTTGTGAATGCATATAATGCAGGGCTCCAGGCTAAGAAATACATATAGTGCAGGGCTCAGGAGTGCATATCATACAGAGCTCAGGAATGTATATCACCCTGGCTCCAAGGTTATTGTGCGGGGTGTAGGGGCATGTATCACACAGGGCTTAGGAGTGGATATTGCACAGGGCACTAAAAAAACACATGTACCCTAACTAGAAAAAACTAATGGGGCTTTTAGAGGCACCGTACCAAAAAGAAAGTCAATATTCAAAATATAAAAATTAAAGCTATATTGAGCAATGTTAAAACTACAGTTTTCGTAAGGGTTTTGAGCATTCACATAGCTCATATTAAAAGACATGTGTAGCGTGTGCAAAGTAACAGGCTTATTACATAACACTGCAGAAAATATCCCTAGATGACATGCCTAGCATATTTGACATAATTTCGTCGAGATCTTTTATCGATTTTTCTCTGACGCATTTGCAGGACAAGGGTCCGCTTCCTCAAGGAGATATAACATATAGTTCTAAAATTATATAAACAAAGCCAGAATAAGCGTACAACAGGTATTCTATGTATAGGCCTTGGCTAGGTACATATTAGAATTAACCCTTTCCAAAACTAATGTACTCTAAGTAATCCAAATATTTGGCTTTTCAAGGGAAGAAAAAGTATATATATATATATATATATATATATATATATATATATATATGTATTCCATATCAATAATATACATTACTCACCGAGATCAAGCTGATCGCCAGCTTGAGGATCCAATCTGCATAGATACAGTTTGTGTTCAAAATAATAGCAGTCAGACATCACTAACCTGATCAATCACTGTTTTTGGTAGAAAATATATTTCTACATGGCAAATAATTTACTAGCAGGTGTAGTAGAGTAATAGAAATCCAACAGACCCAACAGTCATGACATGCATGTTGCTGATTCTGTGTAATTGAATCACTAATTGAAAGGGGCATGTTCAAAATAATAGCAGTGTGGAGTTCTATTAGTGAGGTCATTCATTCTTTGAAAAATAGGTGGCAATTATTGCCCTTATTTAAGGAAGGAAAGCAGCAAATGTACATGCTGGTTACAGTGCATTTACAGTGCATTTCTCTCTGAAATTCTGAGGAAAATGGGTTCCAGACATTGTTCAGAAGAACAGAGTACCTTGTTTAAAAAGTTGATTGGAGAGGGGAAAACATATAAAGAAGTGCTGAAAATGATAGGCTGCTCAGCTAAAATGATCGCAAATGCTTTAAAATGGCAACCAAAACCTGAAAGACGTGGTAGAAAGCGAAAAACTACCATTCAAATGGATAGAAGAATAGCCAAAATGGCAAGGACTCAGCCAACAGTCAGCTCCAGGAAGATCAACGAAGGTCTAAAGTTACCTGTGAGTACTGTTACAATTAGAAGACGCCTATGTGAAGCCAAGCTATCTGCAAGAAGCCCCCGCAAAGTCCCACTGTTGAAAAAAAAGATGTGCTGAAGAGATTACAATTTGCCAAAGAGCACATTGACTGGCCTAAAGAGAAATGGCGCAACATTTTGTGGACTGATGAAAGTAAGATTGTTCTTTTTGGGTCTAGAGGCTGGAGACAGTTTGTCAGACGACCCCCAAACACTGAATTCAAGCCACAGTACACTGTGAAGACAGTGAAGCATGGTTGCACAAGCATCATGATATGGGGATGTTTCTCATACTACGGTGTTGGGCCTATTTATCGCATACCAGGTGTCAGGGCTCCCAGGTGTGACCAGAGATGTGTGACTGACGCAGGGAAACGCAGACCTCAGATATGTTATAAACAATATAATTTATTAACACTAACAATACAAACATAAACGCAGTGCAATACTAAACATAATACAGTGCAAACAAACCAAACCAAACCACCCACAGATAACAGTACATACAAGCAAGCGTCGTCAGGCAGGCCGGGTCAATATCAATAGGGCAGGTAGGTACAGGGGGAGCAAGCGGAGATTGGTCAGGGTCACAAGCCAGGGATCACAACAGGTAGCAAGCAGCGTGGTACAGAGGGTCAGACAGAGGGATGGTCAGGAGCGAGCCGGGATCAGAGCAGGAGAAGTCAGCAGCGGTTCAGAAACAGGATGCAGGACAGAAACAGGATACAGGGCCCAGGACAAACACACACCAAGGCAGAGTCTGTGGGTCTGGCCATCCCTTAAATACCCCAGCATAATCAGTTACAGGTGTTAGCTGGCTGCAAAGTTGAGTCTCTGATTGCTGGGAACACCCGCTGGCCAGCCCTGGTACTGCAGATCAAAAGGCAGGTGAGTCCCACCATAGCTGGCCAGTCCATTCCTGACAGTACCCCCCCCTCAAGGAGCGGCCTCAGGACGCTCCAAACAGTCCTAGCTGGGAAAAATGTTCCACCGCCGGGTCTGGTAACTGGCGGGATATCAAAGACTGGCACACCGGGCAGGACTCCGGGCAGCGGTACACACCGGGCAGAGGCACATCGGGCTGGACTCCGGGCAGAGGCACATCGGGCTGGACTCCGGGCAGAGGCACATCGGGCTGGACTCCGGGCAGAGGCACATCGGGCTGGACTCCGGGCAGAGGCACATCGGGCAGGACTCCGGGCAGAGGCACACCGGGCAGGACTCCGGGCAGAGGCACACCGGGCAGAGGCACACCGGGCTGGACTCCGGGCAGAGGCACACCGGGCAGGACTCCGGGCAGAGGCACATCGGGCAGGACTCCGGGCAGAGGCACATCGGGCAGGACTCCGGGCAGAGGCACATCGAGCAGGACCCCGGGCAGAGGCACATCGAGCAGGACCCCGGGCAGAGGCACATCGGGCTACCAGGCGAAGCAGCAGGCAGCGGGCCCCCCGGGCGGAGCGACAGGCACCGGGCCCCCGGGCGGGCGGGGCGACGGGCACCGGGCCCCCGGGTGGGGCGACGGGCACCGGGCCCCCGGGCGGGGCGACGGGCACCGGCCCCCGGGCGGGGCGACGGGCCTCGGCCCCCCAGGCGGAGCGGCGGGCGCCGGACTCCCAGGCGGAACTACAGGTCTCGGGCCCTCAGGCGGAGCGGCGGGCGCCGGACCCCCAGGCGGGGCGACAGGCCTCGGGCCCCCAGGCGGAGCGGCGGGCGCCGGACCCCCAGGCGGAACTACAGGTCTCGGGCCCTCAGGCGGAGCGGCGGGCGCCGGACCCCCAGGCGGGGCGACAGGCCTCGGGCCCTCAGGCGGGAGCGGCGGGCACCGGACCCCCAGAAGGAGCGACGGGCATCGGACCCCCAGGCGGGGCGACGGGCATCGGACCCCCAGGCGGGGCGACGGGCCTCGGACCCCCAGGCGGGGCGACGGGCCTCGGACCCCCAGGCAGGGCGGCGGGCGCCGGACCCCCAGGCGGAGCGACGGGTCTCGGGCCCTCAGGCGGAGCGACGGGCATCGGACCCCCAGGCGGGGCGACGGGCATCGGACCCCCAGGCGGGGCGACGGGCATCGGACCCCCAGGCGGGGCGACGGGCATCGGACCCCCAGGCGGGGCGACGGGCATCGGACCCCCAGGCGCGGCGACGGGCATCGGACCCCCAGGCGCGGCGACAAGCATCGGACCCCCAGGCGGGGCGACGGGCATCGGACCCCCAGGCGGGGCGACGGGCATCGGACCCCCAGGCGGGGCGGCGGGCATCGGACCCCCAGGCGGAGCGGCGGGCGCCGGACCCCCATGTGGAGCGGCGGGCGCCGGACCCCCAGGCGGAGCTACAGGTCTCGGGCCCTCAGGCGGAGCGGCGGGCGCCGGACCCCCAGATGGAGCGACAGGTCTCGGGCCCTCAGGTGGAGCAACAGGTCTCGGGCCCCCAGACGAAGCGGCGGGCACCGAGTCACCAGGCACGACAGTGGGCACCGAGTCGTCTGGCAAGACTGCGGGCACCGAGTCAACTGGCGGAACAGCGGGCACCGAGTCGTCTGGCAAGGCTGCGGGCACCGAGTCGTCTGGCAAGACTGCGGGCACCGAGTCGTCTGGCAAGACTGCGGGCACCGAGTCGTCTGGCAAGACTGCGGGCACCGAGTCGTCTGGCAAGACTGCGGGCACCGAGTCGTCTGGCAAGACTGCGGGCACCGAGTCAACTGGCGGAACAGCGGGCACCGAGTCGTCTGGCAAGGCTGCGGGCACCGAGTCGTCTGGCAAGGCTGCGGGCACCGAGTCGTCTGGCAAGGCTGCGGGCACCGAGTCGTCTGGCAAGACTGCGGGCACCGAGTCGTCTGGCAAGACTGCGGGCACCGAGTCGTCTGGCAAGACTGCGGGCACCGAGTCGTCTGGCAAGACTGCGGGCACCGAGTCATCTGGCAAGACTGCGGGCACCGAGTCGTCTGGCAAGACTGCAGGCACCGAGTCAACTGGCGGAACAGCGGGCACCGAGTCGTCTGGCAAGGCTGCGGGCACCGAGTCGTCTGGCAAGGCTGCGGGCACCGAGTCGTCTGGCAAGGCTGCGGGCACCGAGTCGTCTGGCAAGGCTGCAGGCACCGAGTCAACTGGCAAGACTGCGGGCACCGAGTCGTCTGGCAAGACTGCGGGCACCGAGTCAACTGGCGGAACAGCGGGCACCGAGTCGTCTGGCAAGACTGCGGGCACCGAGTCGTCTGGCAAGACTGCGGGCACCGAGTCGTCTGGCAAGACTGCGGGCACCGAGTCGTCTGGCAAGACTGCAGGCACCGAGTCGTCTGGCAAGACTGCGGGCACCGAGTCGTCTGGCAAGACTGCGGGCACCGAGTCGTCTGGCAAGACTGCGGGCTCCGAGTCAACAGGCACGACAGTGGGCACCGGGTCATCAGGTATCGGATTGTCTGGCTCGACAGCGGGCATCGGGTCACCAGGTATGACAGCGGGCACTGGGTCACCAGGCATCAGGTCATTTGGCTTGCCAGCGGGCACCGCGTCATCTGGCAAGGCAGTGGGCACCGGGTCACCAGGTATGACAGCGGGCTCTGAGTCAATTGGCACGACAGCGGGCACTGGATCAGGTACCGGATCATCTGGATCAACAGCGGGCATCGAGTCAACTGGCCTAATAGGATCGTCGGGCTGGATCAGTTCATCATGCTGAGTAGCGGCATCAGGCTGAATGCAGGCTTCAGGCTGAATGCAGGCTTCAGGCTGAGGAGAGGCTTCAGGCTGAGGAGGCTTCAGGCTGAGGAGAGGCATCAGGCTGAGGAGAGGCATCAGGCTGAGGAGAGGCATCAGGCTGAGGAGAGGCATCAGGCTGAGGAGAGGCATCAGGCTGAGGAGAGGCATCAGGCTGAAGAGAGGCATCCGGCTGAGTAGAGGCTTCAGGCTGAGTCACGGAAGGCAGGTTCACCGGTTTGGATACTGGCAGGATGGTATTGGTTGGAAAGAATTTTCGCTTTTTTCTGGTTTTAACTACTGGAGCACTGCAAGTAAACGCAGGTCTGCAAACGAATGGAGCAGCTGGAGACAGAGAAAAACTGGAGGATGGAACAGGAGAGGGAGCAGTTGCTACAGAGGGCTTTTTTACAGGGTTAAAGGCAGGATAGGTGCAGCGAGTGGGAACAGGGTACTGACATGCGGTAGATAGCCAAGTATACTGGGCTGTAACTGGAGGAGCTGGTGGGAATACAGGAGTAGAGTTAGAAGCAGGACTGGGTTTTTGTAAGCTGACTGAGGCTGGGTGCAACAAGTCTGTCCATGTCTGCAGTAGGGGTTGAACAAAGCTGAGCTTACACAAAGCCTGTCTGGTCAATGACTGCACTGCGTTTATACAATCTCTTAGTGTCTGTGGTGAACATGTGGAATAACGCTCCAGAAAGTAACCCACATCATCCTCTAATAACCACACCAGGGACTCAACCTGGTCTGCACTAAATGGTGGCAAAAATTCATCCCTGCATTCGGGGGAACCAGATGAAACCAACTCAACACAAACCTGAATCAATGGCTGCACCATAGAGAAATCTGTGCCCTGATCTACTAGAACATGAGCGAGCCGTATACATTCTAGCAGTTCATCCCGGGGATACTCCTTCAGAGTCTGATAAGCATACTCTCTGTCATCAAGCACTAGCAGAGATAAATACTCAACCTCATCCAGATCCATCCTTCCCAGCAACAAGCCAAGATGGCTTCCCTGTGCAGCCACTTCTGGTCAGGATTGGCCTTGGTGTAATGTCAGGGCTCCCAGGTGTGACCAGAGATGTGTGACTGACGCAGGGAAACGCAGACCTCAGATATGTTATAAACAATATAATTTATTAACACTAACAATACAAACATAAACGCAGTGCAATACTAAACATAATACAGTGCAAACAAACCAAACCAAACCACCCACAGATAACAGTACATACAAGCAAGCGTCGTCAGGCAGGCCGGGTCAATATCAATAGGGCAGGTAGGTACAGGGGGAGCAAGCGGAGATTGGTCAGGGTCACAAGCCAGGGATCACAACAGGTAGCAAGCAGCGTGGTACAGAGGGTCAGACAGAGGGATGGTCAGGAGCGAGCCGGGATCAGAGCAGGAGAAGTCAGCAGCGGTTCAGAAACAGGATGCAGGACAGAAACAGGATACAGGGCCCAGGACAAACACACACCAAGGCAGAGTCTGTGGGTCTGGCCATCCCTTAAATACCCCAGCATAATCAGTTACAGGTGTTAGCTGGCTGCAAAGTTGAGTCTCTGATTGCTGGGAACACCCGCTGGCCAGCCCTGGTACTGCAGATCAAAAGGCAGGTGAGTCCCACCATAGCTGGCCAGTCCATTCCTGACACCAGGGATCATGGATCAGTTTGAATACATCAGAATACTTGAAGAGGTCATGCTGCCTTATGCTGAAGAGGAAATGCCCTTGAAATGGGTGTTCCAACAAGACAACGACCCCAAACACACCAGTAAATGTGCAACATCTTGGTTCCAGACCAACAAGGTTGACGTTATGGAGTGGCCAGCCCAATCCCCGGATCTTAATCCAATAGAAAACTTGTGGGGTGACATCAAAAATGCAGTTTCTGAGGCAAAACCAAGAAATAGAGAACTGTGGAATGTAGTCCAATCATCCTGGGCTGGAATACCTGTTCACAGGTGCCAGAAGTTGGTTGACTCCATGCAACACAGATGTACAGCAGTTCTCAGAAACAGTGCTTATACAACTAAATATTAATTAATGATTCAAAGGAAAGCAAAATCTTCAAACATTTTTTAGTTTATATAGTGAATGTTTGAGTTTGTAAAGAAGAATACAAACGCTGCTATTTTTTGAACAGTCTAATATTCACTTTTCTTCAATTTCTTTAGAGGAACAACACAAATTTGATATATTTTCTTTATCTTTTGATTTGGAATAGAATGTGTAGTGTTCCCAATGCATTTGTGTTTATGGAAATAAAAGGAAGGATTATTAGAAGGATTTTTCACTTTTTTCAACACACTGCTATTATTTTGAACACAACTGTATATTGGAAATAGATATAGTAATGTAGATATTCTAGAATGAGGTATAGCCCTGAAATCACTACCTCTGCCAAAGGCCTTAAATAGTGAAGGAAAGGTGCCAAATGCCGGCTTATTGACCTTCTTTTTAGTATGGCGCCTCTAAAAGCCCCATTTGTTTTTTCTAGTTAGGGCCCATGTGTTTTTCAGTGTCTTGCCAATAATCAATCAACAAGGGGTGAGACCATTGTATATATAGGTCTCCCTCTCCCCTTTCTTCCAGTTAATGTCTCAGTATTGCATAGGGCTCAGGAGTACATACTGTGCAGGGTTCACTGAAGAGAGGGTATTACACAAGCCAGTGTACAACCAAAAATGTCCTTCCCTCCCAAACTCCCTTGCCAGCACAGACCCCCCCCCCCCATCAAAGGGGCTACAGTGGAAGAGCATCTAACAGCTACTCACCTTGTCCTCATGAGTCCCCTCTTGGCTCTATCATAAGGATGTGCAGGGCAGGGAGCACTCTGTGTGGGTCCAGAAGCAGCACATTGTCATGTGGTTGTAAACACAGAAACCAGCAGCAGAAGCATGTAGTGCAGACAATTTCCTCTATATCGGCTTCTGTGTTTACAACAAATTACAGCGGTGAGTGGTGAGCACAAGGCTAGTACAAGAGGTGGTGGTATTGCCATGGCTAAAAAATTAAACCCTGCTGTGAGTGAGGCACAGGGGAATAAAGAAGCTGCAGCCCCCTCTACAGTTAGCACAGTACTCTTGGCACATGCCCTATCTGTTCCTCCCTTGTTCCGGTCCTGCTTGCTAGCAAAGCATCCACTTCCTAGTGCCTGTTTCTGACTCCCAGAACTTGCCAAAAGGCAAGCATTACAAAAAGGAATGCAGAGGGAGGTGAGCTGTGTCAGCCTACTGTCCCTCTGCGTTCCTCTTGCCAGTGACAGATGCTTGCTATCAAAGCATCTGTCTCGTTGCTAGCATTGGTGTTGGGCAGCGGTGCACCAAGCAGGGGAGCCCTGCATGGCATTGTACTGTAGATAGAGTTACAAGACACCCAGAACGTTGAGAAAGAATGATACACATTCTTTGTCTGTCACATCAATAACTGAATGATGTAAAAAAAATAAAAGCTTAAATATGATAAAAAAAAACATAAAGGGAAGTTTTAGCTTCATTGTGAAAAATGTCCTCTCCACATGAACTTTTGTTGCAGAATCATGATTCTATGAAAAAAATGAAATTTTGCTGATTATGTCCTTTCTAAAAGGGATAAGGACTGAGAGGGTATGCCTTTATCATCAGGATTTGAGTCATTTCATAGTTACATAGTTACATACATGGGTGGACTGACCATTTGGAAACTCGGGCACTGCCCAAGGGCCCGGGGTCAGTAGGGGGCCCCATGAGATGCCCCTGGTACCTTTTTCATAGGCTTCTTTGAGTTTGGGCAAGGAAACAGGAGCCCCATGATCCCCTATTGCCCGGGGGCCCCATGAGTTGTCAGTCCGCCCCTGGTTACATAGTTAGCCTGGCTGAAAAAAGACAAAAGTCCATCCAGTTCAACCATTAAAAAAAGAAATAAAAGTTCTAATTTTATACCCACAGTTGATCCAGAGGAAGGCAAAAAACCAGCAAAGCATGATCCAATTTGCTCCTGCAGGGGAAAAAATCATTCCTGATCCCCCGAGAGGCAATCAGATATTCCCTGGATCAACTTTACCTATAAATGTTAGTATCCAGTTATATTCTGTGTATCTAGGAAAGAATCCAGGCCTTTTTAAAGCAATCCACTGAGCTGGCCAGAACCAACTCTTGAGGGAGTCTATTCCACATTTTCACAGCTCTCACTGTGAAGAAATCTTTCCGTGTTTGGAGATTACATTTCTTTTAGTCCAGACATAAAGAGTGCCCCTTTGTCCTCTGTGATGACCTCAGGGTGAATACCTCTACACGGAGTTCACTATATGAACCACTGATATATTTATACATGTTGATCATATCCCCCCTTAATCTCCTCTTCTCAAGAGAGAATAAATTCAGTTCCTCTAATCTTTCCTCATAGCTGAGCTCATCCATGCCTCTTATCAGTTTGGTTGCCCTTCTCTGTACTTTCTCCAGTTCCCCAATGTTCTTTTTGTGAATTGATGCCCAAAAGTGAACTGCATATTCCAGATGAGGTCTTAATAACGATTTGTACAGGGGTAATATGATATCTCTCTCTCTGGAGTCTATACCTCTTTTACTACAAGAGAGGATTTTGCTCGCTTTAGAAACCGCAGCTTGGTATTGCATTTATTAAGCTTGTAATCTACCAGAACTCCCAGATCCTTCTCACCATTGATTTCCCCAGTTGTACCCCCCTAGTATGTATGATGCATGCATATTCTTAGCCCCCAAGTACATATTCTTACATTTCTCAACATTAAACCTCATTTGCCACATAGTTGCCCAATTAAACAGTGCATTGAGATCGGCTTGTAAGTTGAAGACATCCTGCAAGGACAGTGTTATAGAAAGAAAGGGAGCACCATCTGCCTAAAAAAAAATCCCACATGAACCTGCTATTGCAAGGGATGCCTTGTAACTAGAACATGATTTGGCATTGCTGGAAAGTTGGCCAAAGAAGTGGAAACTGCAGTTCAATGGTTCTAAATTCAGAATAATGCAGTTAGGAAGTAAAAATTGGAAGTACAGTCACAGCCAGAACTACAGAGGAAAAACATGTGGGGGTGGTTATTTCAGATGGTTTCAAAATAAACAGTGTGGCCAAACAATGGGAAGAATGAACAGAATTCTGGGGTGCTCCACAGCAGTAGGAAAGAGATAGTATTTCTCCTAGTTTCTCTTTAGTTAGACATTATGTAGAATACCATGACCTCATTTACAAAAATATATTAGTAAGATAGAATGCATGCAGACACAAA